CTGGATATATTTGGACCTACTCGCCACACTGGCCATGTTACCCAATCATACTGACAGTCTTAATCATGTGACTGCCCGTTTTTTTCGCCATCACTGACTCATTATTACCCAATCATACTGACAGTCTTAATCATGTGACTGCCCTTTTTTTTCGCCATCACTGACTCATTAGTGGGGAGTGGATAGTGGATGAACGACGTTAAGGATATACATGTATGTGTAAACGATCACCCACTATTTATATTCTAAAAATACGCGCTTTTTCTATGCTCATTAGATCCTGATTTTTCTTAGATCTTCTCCGCCTCTTTTTATTTTGTTCGTCGGGTGTTTCTTCTCTAGGTGATGATACTGTAGTACTTTTTTCAACACGATGTGTCTTACTTGTAGGTACTTGCATTAACAGAGATAAATTGACGATCAAGATATTCTATATAAAACAAAATTAGTTTATTATATGCATAAACGAAATTTGGCGTGCTAAAATACATACCCGCAAATTCAACAATAATTCAACAAATTCAGGTAAAGTTGATAAGGTTGGCTCTGACCATTGTATGGGAATTTGCGTTTTTTTTCAGATGGTAATATCGATGTATATCAATGTTATCCCTGATAAGTACATTTAACTGGATTTCGGTCCCTATAATATTCCACCTTATTATTAGATCGGTAAATAATGGACTAGAGTCTGAAATAGTCTTATCATTAAACTTTACCTGCAACTTGAATTCCCACAATGCCAAATTAATCTTTTTCAGGTTTACACCCTTGTCGTACCCAAAACATACCATCGTTTGTTTCCCTCCATAATTTTATTCCATCTTCTCTTTTCTTGGTATCGCTACATAATAAACGTGAGCATTCACCAAATACAAGCTCAAATATCTTACCCTCCCGTTTTTGTAAATACATGAAATCTGGTCGTTTTCCAAAATATCCATCCCCTTTCCTATCTGCGCTGGCAATGCTTTGTCGTTCCGCACTATAGTAAATTTCTAAAATCGTGACTTTGATAGTAATAAATATAATACTACTTAAATATAACGACTTACGTGCTGATAAATGCAAATTACCTATATGGTAGCCCTTTCAATGATGCCCAAATCGAAGGAATTATCACATCTGTTACATACGTTCCCTCACTTTGTGTTTTCATAAGTTCCGGGCCAAATGCTGGATTCATCCAAACATCGGCCCTGATAATCAAATGGTATAAAAATATTATTAATTTAAGGATCTTATAACTTCGCCCATTTTGAAATTACTTACACTACATCAAGAATATCCTGTGTAACTTCCATAAAGGTTTCATCTGACTCTTTCCATTTCCCATTATGCGTAAGTTTTATACATAAGTCCTCAATATATTCTTCTGAAAACCCTGATACGAACTCGTGGCATTTATCTTGGATGGGAGTGTGACGACAATATTACGTGCTGGTTTCTGTTGAGGAACAATTTATATAATTAAAAATGCTAATTAGAGCAAAGAAAACAAGTAATTCTTACCATAAATTTTTGATGCTGTTTATGTGAAAACTTTTTTACTACAATTGAATCATCACTTATGACTCGATTGGCTAGAGGATCTTTCCAGGTTAGGTTTGTAATGGAAATGTTTTTAATGTTTTGATAAAGTTCTACAGAAAGGGGAGATGAATCGCTCAAAGTCTCCCTTCTAAATATCTTATATTTTTCTTTATCGTATCGTCATCAAGGAGAATTTGTTCACTCTTTACAAATGTATATTAGTTTATTTCCATAGATATTATTATTATAAAATTAATCCGTCATACCAATTAAACGCCTTGATATCACGTAGGCTACAGACAGTTTCATAGGCACATTCGAACTAACGCAGAATAATATTATGTTAGTCTAACTTTGTAATATATATTATCAACCCCACTTGCGCGCGCTATCAGAAATATCATAAAGTTGCCATTCTTGTTCGGCCGCCACAAGGACGATAACTTATCTAAATATAACTCCACAGAGACGAAACACTCTTCACTACGTTCGAAGTCGTAACTTGTACTTGTAGGCGCAGGCATTTATTTTGACTTTGTCAAGTAATGTCTGCGTTGTCATCATATATATATGAAAAAAAAAGTCTAAAAAATGAATAACTAACCTCTAAAAAAATATTGGAAATCTTTCTAAAGCGTTCAGAATCTTCACCAGCAATATTTTTCATGGACCGAATCGCGTTAATCGTCAACTTTAAGAGTTCATCTTTTGATATTGTTTGGTCTTCTTCTGTGCCTTTATAAATTACCGACCCTGCTGTAATATGCTTTACTGGTCCATCTTTCATAAAGTCCAAAATTTTATTGAATACGGTAGTCGACATATTTTACAGTCACCGGCAAAAGTAATGGCGGTCAGTTTTTGGGATGTTGTGAGCGCAATTTGGTATATAAACACAAATAA